TGAGGGGGGGTTAGACATTACAACAGCAGCTACACTGACCCCTGAAAGCACTGCACATGAGTGAGGGAGGATGCTGCACTCATCCAGCTACTCAGTCCACAACCTGACAGACTGACTACAATGACGTAACTGTATTACCCGCTTATGCCAGAAAATCAAATGAGTTCATCCTCACCCACACATGTCACACGTTTTAGGCAATTTGGTTCATTGTGAGTAGTGCAGTGCATCCGTTGTGCGTTTAATTGACTGTGTAGTCGCTCTCAGCTCCGAGACTCTTAAAATAAATGGGTGTTTTCGGTGAAGACAACCTGGGGAAGGGCTGATGCTCCTCAGCGTCAGTTAACGTTACGTTAGCTGACTATCGAAACAGTGACGCCGTTGGGCCTAAACACACACAGCTCACCAAATCAAACTGTATTAAAAGGACTAGGTGACGTTGATGCGTGGCGGCAACCAACGCAGTGGCTGTTTAAAAAAAAATGTGTGAAGCAAACAGAAGCAGGGTATTACATGAGCAGTATGTTTGTTTACGTTGAGCTGGCTCTGGGTAACAGCTAGCTGTCAGCAGGCTAGCTTGTTTTGGGTGTAGAGAAGTGAATATTGCACTTTTTTTACAGTCGTTGCTGCCGAAGTGGGTCGTGATTTTATTGCAGTGGCACTGACTATGTGTCCGCGTCTAACGGAAACACGAGGTCCAGAGCCCCCCAGAGTGCACACCGCTCGAGTAAGGGGGAACCAACGTAACGTTAGCTTAGCGGGCTCCGATACGCTAGGGAAGTCAAAGCCTAAATGCTACCTAGCAAGCTGACCCCCCGCAAGAGTGTGCACCCACACTGTGGGGTCCCTGGCAAATTGTGTGTAGTTAAAACAACGACTTATGTGATAAAAGTCTTACTAGCTTACGCGCTGTGCACAACAATGATCTTTGACGTCGCTGGTGTTTATTGAAGTACCGCCAAGCAAGGGTTAATGTTAGCTTACGGTCGTTAGCTCGGTTAGCTCCACAAATGACAGAACAGCATCTGCGATATCTGTATTTTCACGTTAGCCACTCACCTTCCTTGATTTATCCCCTGCTCTTTATCATTGATAGCGGTGGTATAAATCCGCCTGTATCTGTCGGCCAGAGCTCTCCCTGAGAGTAAAAGCTGGTACCGAGTCCGACAATCCGACTGGGCTCCGGTTGTCGGACAAGAACCCATTCCCGAACCAATGGTGGAGAGATCGGCTCCTGCTCCAGAAATGACCCTGACACCCAGCCCCATCGACGGCGATGAGGAGGGCAGGATCCCTCCACCGGCGGCCGCTGCCGCAGCAGCACACATCATCGTTTTGGAGAACAATGCATATATCACACAAAAGATATCACAGCTAGATAATATCTAGCCATCAGTTGCAATCCACTTGTCATTAAATCCGCCACATGTCACATTATTTGTCCGTTCCAAGTTGCAGAAATACCACAATTAGCATCCACGGTCCCCGGTTATTATCAGCGCAAATTGTAGCCAATGTGGTGGTGCAGCTACAACGTACGGGTCTTCCGATCTGCCACAGCGTCAACACGGTGCTCGCCTCGTCGAAAATATATCTTCTCAAGCCATAACAAAATTTTCTTAAGAAAAGAGCAGAACCGTCAACCTTTAATTTCCAAGAGTCGCCCTGTCGTGTTTCGGTTTCATTCGTTCCTTGAATATTTCTTGACCCCAGAGAGGCAGCACCCTCAGTTGGGCTGCCATCTTAGCTCCATCATCCCTCCCCTCCCTGGCTGAGTCTTGCGTCGCTAGCATGCCGGGATATTTTCATATGACTAAAACCGGGCGATGCTATCATTGATTTATTTGAACAATTACCTCCCTGTGTACAATTATTCAGATGTTCTTTCTTTAAACACACGTTGAGAGTCGTGGTAGTGAAAGCTAGCATTATGGATGGAAAGAAGAACCATAGAAGTTATTTTGCACACTGTGCACAGTTAGAATCTGGACATTTAATTTGTAGAGGTCTGTCCAGGGCCCCTCCCAGTGTGATCTAAAATTGGCACACTGAGATACTTTTGAAAGCGATGAAGCGACCTTTAAACCGGTGTTGCATTATGATAAGACTGCTTTGGTTTTATAGTTCATAATCTCTTCTCTGCGATCATTTACAATCCATTCGCCAACTACTGTAATTAACAGCTGGAATAATGTTAGCATTGTACTTCCTTCTCCAGTGACAACTGTATTGCTGTGACATGTGGCCATTTGATCTCAAACTCATTAGTTTGCAGAAGGATTGCAGCCATCTTTTGATTAAATCTGGATGGCACAGTGGTCTTCTTCACTCAGCAGGCCCTAGTCAAGGTCTACACAGCCTTACCTACCTACAGAAACATATGAACCCTTTTATGATATGGCTCACGTTTTGCGAGATAGCAGATA